CATACTTGCACCTGAGATATGACGATGACGTTAAAGTAAAACGTCATGTTATATGATAAATAACGGCACCCGGATCATTAATCAAGATTGTACTTGTTGCGTCTGTCATCGCTACGAACACAACAACAAACGAATTTTCCACCGCCTCAACACAATCCAAATTTTTCCCCACCCCCAACTAGACTTAGACGGAAAAGCAAAAGCAATATATCTTGTGGAAGCGCGCGCTATTCTTATGGAAGGGCACATAGAGTGTGGACGTAGCCCGTTGTCAGTGTCGTAGAACATGCGATGTGTGGCAAAGACCACGAAGGTTTCAAGCGGGTTGATTCTCAAGTCGTCTAAACGCTCTAGCCGACAGAGATTATCAGCTGATTTCTAGGCGCGAAAATATCCACATTTTTTGAGATTATAGAACCTTTAACTTTTTGGTTATTTTCTTATGTCTGTGCTAACGCTGGATACGTTGGTACATAACCGTACCTCCGTCATATGCGTATAAAGCATAACGTTTGCACCCTCTACACAAAGACTATTTAAACCTACAAATATTTTATGATTTTTTTAGCCGAAAATCACATTGAATGACACATTCATTTAACGAACGAATTACTGGTGTGTTTTTTAAGATTTGATAGATACCGAAAAAATTATATTTTCGCAGTCTCTTCTCTACATTTCCGACTCTTCTAACTGAGAATTATCCAATATTAAGACTGGCTAGTTTAAGATTATTTTTAAATTGAAGTTAACGCCAGAAGTGTTTTAACATAGCTATGAAATCTATCTTTTTGATATTGATCTTTCTCTGACCGCGGAAAAATGACAAAGCAAAGTCATAGCTAAAAGTCTTTGGAAGCTACACGAGAAGAGAGGCAGTAATACATAAGTAAGTAAGGAGCTGTGAATCCGATTCTTATTTCACATATTCAACAAGAAGCAACCTAAGACCATTACGGTTTCTCCTGATGATCAAAGTCTTACCGAGGTTATTGAATCAATTTTTTGTTTGACCCTCCACAGTGGGTGGAGCCACGTATGCGCTCATTCGTGTTTTAACTGCACTTCCGCGGCCCTGCCAGCACTGGTCGCCTCAGCAGCCCCTTCTCGGGGAGCAGTTCTGCTCTCCTCCATGCAAGGCACGTTGAAAACATTCAACAAAAATAAGCACCCCCGAGTCCGCTGACCGGAGGTTATGGAAGCCAGGATAACCAGTGTTAAGAAACAGCAAGCATCCCAGTCCCTAGCGGCAGACCCGGTCTGTGGCTCCACCGCTCACCACGTTTCGGCTGCGGAGTGTATAGATAACGACAACACAATATCGACACTCCTCTCACCCGACGGCCCCACCACTGCATCATCAGTGCAGCCCCGTCGAGTTGCGGAAGAAAGAGAGAATGACCAAACATAATATCGAAACTCCTCTTCTAACATGGTGAGTGGCTCCGCCTCTACAACCAACCGGTAGAGTCGGAGCGGCCCTCTCGGCCGGCTTTAAGCCACAGGCCGGCCCAGTGTGGGAGGAACCCACGGCAAAGCCATGGCTACTAAACCCCTCCGCCACGAACCCGGTCGTGAGGGCGTGCGCACGATCATCATCCTCATTTCAGCAGGTTTCAGTCCATTACCACTTAAGAACCACTCTTCCCCATCGGTTATCGGTTCTACGAGATATATGCCCAGCCCATCGCCACTTCAGTTTGCTAATCTTCTTAGCCAACATAAGTTATCTTTGCTCTACTGCCGTCTAGTTCTTCTAGTGGTAAACGCAAAAAACTACCAACCTAACCTCATGGCCTTTGGAAGCACAATGTAGTTATTCGCACTCGTATAAGAGCAAATCTGTGATATGTGTTAATACCTACTGTGTTACGTGAAATTTACATAATTATGGGTTTTGTATATAACGAAGACGAAATAAGAATAATAGACGGAGAAAAAGTGTTCACAACATTTTATTGCACCGTGTAACATTTGTATTTAACATTTGTATAAAGGTGATTTGTCAAGTCTTACTAGACCCTCCGAAATACGAGCTTCACCTTTGTATTTTAACCGAACACAACGTTTGCATTAAATAACATTTACGAGAATTCACAATTAAAGCATTCTAACATTTACCCGATAAGAACACAGCCAGACAAGGTTTATAAATGCTTATTATTCATCACTACCGAAAATATAAAGAATCTAAAACCGAAGTAACCTTAAGATTTATGATAAAACTTACCTCACTACTCACACCAATAACGTATATTAAACATTTACTGTATTGCTTAAACGATAAGATTTAATTTTAAATGAAACTTATGCACTAGTAAGGTATCTTTATTCGAACTTTTTGACACCCGTTACCCACTAGCAACATTGTCTTGACAATAATAAATTTAAAATTAAGCTGTCTTACTATCACGGTTCATGAGTGACAGCCTGGTGACAGACGGACAGACAGACAGACAGACAGGAGAGTGTTAGTAAATTTAGGGTCCCGTTTCACTCTAAAGGGTACGGAACACTAAAAATGAAGTGATCTTTACATACTCATGGAAATCATTATCATTCGGTTAGAGAATGTAATATCTTCTTACAGACTGTCTAGTGCAGAAGCCTGTCTAGTGAAGAAATCCGTTTTAAGAGGATCTCGCTTGAAATCCCGTTATAGACTGCAATTCAGCTTTAAATCCAGCTTTAGATTTGAGAACGTTATCCAATGCAACATTTTAAGAAAGCGATTGAGAGCTCACTTTACTCTTTGTTCATCATACTTTAGTATACATTGTAAAATATAATTGGGTTCAATTGCACGTACTCTTTAACTCAATTAAAAATTAAACTTTATCAGGTATAAGTTATTTTAAAGTTCTTGTAACTTATGTATTTGTATCATCAACGTATTCTTCGGGGTATTTGTTTAATAGCAGTATTTTATTGGAATTTTATTTTTGCCTAAAATTAGATATAATAATAACAGGCAATAACACGTTTTCAGTTAGTACAATTTTTCATAAATTTTTCATCAAATTAAGTTAAGGTAACATTTATATATGTATGCTAGGTCTTAATTAGTTATTATGCTACGTTCTAAACAAATGTAGCTTTAAGCAATAGAGATTTGTAACAAATCTAATAATAATTATGTTAAACACAATGCAAACAAATCAATTCACCAGAAAATGTAAAAAATCTCGAGGAAATGTTACTAATAAAGCTAAATGTAAATTATAAACACTAATATAAATATGTCTGTTTATTATCATAAATTAGAAATGCTTAAGATGATGAGATGAACAATTTCTTAAAATTTTGTTCGTTATTCTCACTTATGAGATATGAAGCAAAACTGGATATCATAATAAAGAATACTATCATAATAAAGAATATTATTACTAATTTCTACTAATTTATAGGAAGCACAAAGGTTGCACAACTCCGAGTCAAGTTTCTCTAAGATTCTATAATTTTATTTAACAGTTACATTTAAATACATTTGTCTGAAATTATCTATTATTTTATGTACCTTACTTTTTTATAAACTGATTGTAGTGCCATCAAGCGTATAATTTGACACGACATAAAGAAAAAAACGTGTTCAATTTTTGATAATACTCAATAAATTTTATTATTTAACGTTTATATTTGATCGTCAAAAGATAATATTATTGAGTTCTAAACGAGAGTAGTTAAGCAACTCTACCTCTCATAACATTTAAATGAACAAGAATTGTCGAAAAGCTTACATTAAAATAGTGATGTCTAAAAGTTATTCTCTCATTGTTCGCAGTACAGTGTAGTTAATTTAAAACATTAATCTATAGTACAAGAAATAGAGTAGAAATGTAAAATTACCCTGTGCCAAAGTTCTGTTTCTCGCCATATTAGTTTCGTTTCAAATTATAAAAGTTAGACATAATTATTTAAAAAGATATAGCATTTTTTTTAATTACAGCCAATTTAATGAAAACGTGAAGGCAACACGCATGTCCTAGTTTTTTGGCAACGCTGTCGATGACAGCCAGAACAAAGTACAATTTCTAAACATGATAGTAATTTTTTTGCAATTCTTTTTACAAAGAAACAGACCAATGGACTTAAGCACAAAAACATTTTTAAAGGGTGTTTTATACAAACACTTAAAGCTCATTTACTTTTAAAAAGGAGTTGCTAATGTTTAGATTGTTGATTGTTGATGTGTCTTGTATTAACTGTGCACTACACAAAGCTGTGTGATAGATCAATAAATTAATAATAACTTCACTCTAAAGAATTAACGTGTATTGCTAGATATATTTTGGGAAAGTTTCATTATTTTCATTACGTAAACTTCACATCAACTTATTTTTTCTAGTGTCTCTAACTATCTTAAAACAAATTATAAAACTATTTTGATATGAACAAATCCAAAACTACATGGGATATCAACATTATTTCGAATACAACACCTTCTGCTGTTGGATAAATGAGCAAGCTGGTCTGGAAAAGTGCAATGGCCTTCAGTGGAACTGAAAGAATTTTATTTCACTTTTACAATATGGCTGGTCACTCTGCCCACGTTCTTAAAAAAACAGCACTGCCACTGCATACAAAAAAAAAACACATGACCATCTGAAAATATGTTTATAAACCAATATACAAAATCACGAAAACAAAACTTATTGCTGTCATACTTGGGCAGTTATTTTTGGTTATCAATATTCCAGTTATCTTTGTACCAGTGATGATAATTATTCATTACAATTATTATAAAAAATTATGCACATTCGAGACCATTAAAAATGTAATGATCTATGTGTAATAATTTTTGTAATGTTTTTAATTTATGAGTACTTATTGGACAATAAGTACTTCGAAACGTTCATTTCAACATCTACTTACTCACTAACACACTAAAATCGAAAGGGCCCGTCTTTCGAAAACAACGACCACAAACTCTTGGCCTTGAGGTTTTTCCACCACCCGTGACTGCCACGTTCCGGGCAAAGCTCGTTTATTGGGCAATGCTAAGCAATCGCGCACCGGTTCTCGTGCGTGCCAGTCCCTCCGGCGGTGGCAGAATCGGGCGGGGGCTCGGCGCTGCGGCCGCCTCCACTCCATTCGAGGGCGTCTATCATCTCCATCAGCTCCTTGAACACTGCTATCACGCGCCAGTTGTACTTCGCCGAGCACTCCACATAGCCGCACTTCCAGTGTTTCCGAACTAGGTTTACAATATTGCGACGTTTCTCCCGCGAGTCGCCGCAAGCGCTTTCTGCTATCGCCAGCTGCTGGAGACCTGTGACTGCAGACGGCGTGCTGCTGCACAGCAGGTCCTGCTTGTTGCCGACGACCAGCACGGGCACGTTCCTCATGTCCCTGCTCTCGACCATCTGGTCGCGCAACGTCCTGATATACTGGAACGTCTCCACGTTGGAGAGATCGAACACTAGGATGTAGGCGGTGGCGTTTCGGAGCCCGTAGAAGCGGTAGTGCGCCCACTCGTAGTAGGAGTTTATCGGGAAGTACGGTATCACGGGCACATCGGTGATCTTCACCTCGTACAGATGCTCGTTGATGATCACCGACGGGTAGAACGTGTGCTTCCGGTCAGTGGGCACGTACTCCTCGGAGAAGTCGCTCCAGACGAATTGCTATTAAAAAAGATAAAATTAAATCTCATGTGAACGTGTAGAAATCATAGGTGAAGCCTATTTCTATAAAAATATATATATATATAGCAAAACTCTTTTCTTCTTGTTCTTTACTGGTTCTTTAAGACCATCATGACATTCTAAAAGGCATTGATCATAGTTTTGAACATTAAAATATCAACACCACCTGAGAGGTTTTAAAGGGAACCATGAGGCAGCACATGGCAGCCTATAACGAGTCTCTTGGCTTCGTAGAGCTGGACGAGGAAAGGACAGAACAAACGCGACACCCAACGTTTAAAGCCGCCCCCGACGACCCGATAGTCGTCACCGCTAGATGCACCAAGGTTATGCTGGACCACAGAATCCTAAGCATGGCAAACGCCGTCTCGGGAGCACAAGATCCGGAAGCACCTTGGAAAGACTGGACGGTGCCGAACATTAGATGGATCAACGGGGTTCCCGGTTGCGGCAAAACAACGTGGACCGTCAAGAACTTTGACACAGGGAGGGACGTTGTGATCACCACAACAATAGAGGCGGCGAAGGATCTTCGCGAGAAGTTTGCTAGTCGCGTCGGCGCCAGTGCAAATACCAAAGTGCGCACAATGGCTTCGGTATTGGTAAATGGGTTCAAAGAGCCAGAGAAGAAGACCTGTACTCGGCTCATGGTCGACGAAGCCCTTATGAACCACTTTGGAGCCATTGTGATGGCAATGCGACTAAGCGAAGCTAAAGAAATCCTGCTGATTGGTGACGTCAACCAACCCCCTTACATTGACAGAGAAAACCTCTTTTCGGTGCAGTACACTCGCCCAAACCTACGCATAGGAACCCGATGGATGTAGCATATGCTCTCAACGAAATATACAGTGGCATATACTCTTCCAGATCACTTGTGCATTCGTTGAGTATCGAAAGATACTCCAACTCGCAAATACAGAAAACTCGTCCAGAAACGCTTTTCATAGTCTATACCCAGGCGGAAAAAGAGGCCACGGCAACGGTTCGCGGGTTTTCACCATCCATGAAGCACAAGGACTAACATACGGGTCAGTCGTTGTCATTCGTACAAAAGTGAGCAAGCTACAGCTGCACGACAGCGTTCAGCATGCCGTAGTGGCGGTATCCCGGCACACGGTCAGCTGTGTTTATTACACAGACGACTGTGACGACGCAGCAGGCCGCCTTATCCAAAAAGCCATGGCGGCATCAACCTGCAAGATAAGAGACTACAACCTTAAAATGGCAATTAGGAACAGAGACGCAGCGGTCGCAGAGAGACTAGCAAAAAAATAACACCTATTACCAAATAACCTGCGACGACGAGATCTCCGTCCCTTCTCCCTACAGCAAAAACTGTGCAGATCAAATATATATATATATATTAATTATTTTATATATATGTATAATAATAATAATAATAAAAAAAAATATATATATATATATATATATATAAATATGAACTCACTGCTGCACCGCTACCAGCCCGGTTGATGTACGCGGCGGTGACAGCCCAAAAAGAAAATTAAAAAAAAAAAAAAACATGTTAACCAAAAAAAAAAGAGTACGGACCACGAGTCTGTACAGTTACTTTGTTAAAATAAAAAAAAAAAAAAAAAAAAAAACATTAAAATATACATACGTGCTAACTTAACAGCTGGTAACATTTTTATGAACTTTCACCAATTCACATTTTATATGTAATAAAGTCAAAATAATCTACTTCATAATTAACTTACGATATAAGAGTATATGTAGCATTTGGGTTTGAAAAAATATTTTTATTTATAAAGAGAAATAAAATTTTACTGTTTTAGTTTTTCACCTGTATAATACTGGTTTTTCCGACGGCAGGGGCACCGAGCAGAACCACTTTGACGAGATCCAGACTGTCAGGGCTCGGCTCCACACTAGGTGCACCTGCCACTGTCAAGGTCCCTCCGCCCCGCTCCAAGTAGTCCAAATCCAATTCTGGTTAAAAATAATTACTATGAATATTGGTTAAACTCGAGTGGCAGCCTTGTATTGGCAATGTAAGACGACCCCCCACTAGATGGTGGGCGATCTATACAAGTGTGTGGGAAGTTGATGAATGCAGGTGGCTTAGAATAGAAGCTCATAAAAATCTCTCTCTATTTATCACTATAATTGTTTGCAATAGAAGAAGCCATCCATACATTATGGTCGTCCTTTACAAATTTCGTACTGTTAATGGTATTCAAACGATTTCTCTAAGCTCTTTCTGTATTACCTAACACAATTCACGAATGCTCTTAGCTTTGTAGTCTTAGTTATTGTTGGAATTTTCTACAGTTCCTCTTACCAATATTAAAGGCCCACATGAAAAGACCTAATAAATAATGGGCTTATGTGTGACAACGCTCGCATATTACGTCCTCATTTCCATTTGATTAAATTCCGAATGCGTGGGCCCTTTAGGAATTTGTGGAGTCACAAACGGAACCCTAAAAGGATGAGACACAGTTTTACCGATTATTTCATTAGCTTGTGCTTTGGCATAATTACTATAAATGACCTTAAAAAGTAAAAATAAGATATACTGTTTTAACAACATTTTAAATTCTGTGTCAATCATGAGTAAACTTACATTCTTGCGCGTAATATAAAATTTGAAGTATTATTGTGTTTTTAATAGAGTTTAAAGAGTTACAGTGACCTATGATTATAACATTTTTTCAGAAGCTTAACTAAATATGTTTATGACACACTTAAATAAAACTTTTAAGTACTTTATTATTGATAAAACCGCAATAAAATCCGAAGAGCAGTTTCAGTAAAATCTTTGTGTTAGTTTAATGGACAATGGATGGATAATTGGGTTAAATTAATAAAGTCAAGTCTTTTTCTGATATCAAGGTGTGCCAAAACCATTTATGTTTAAAAATAAACATACATTTTCTAATACGATAGGCAACGTATATCTTTTAAATCTCGCAATACACTTTGTCTACAACAACCATAAACATTAGTCTTCTTTCTTCTGACCTTATCCCATACTAGGTGGGTTTGACACAATATGTCCTTTCCTTCCATTTTCCTCTATCAGCCGTCATCTCAATATTGACCCGAGGAATGATATGTCCTACACATTATATCATTCCTCACACAGTTCATCCAAACCTTTCTCGATCTTCCTCTAGTTTTGCACCCTCACATGACTTTCATTCCTTCTCATAATGTGCCAATACCATCTCAACCTATCACTCCTTATTTTCTCAGTCACTGGTCAAGCTTTCCCTTATATACTCAGTTTGTAACCTTTCTGGTCACACCACGCATCAATCTCAACATTCGCCTCTATGCCACATGCATTTTTCTTTCATTCGTGTTTTTGCTGCCCGACATTCAGATCCGTACATCATGACAGGTCTCACCATCGTCTTGTAAATCTTCCCTTTGAGTTATAGGGGCATCGTAGGGTCATTTTTAGGGTACATTTTTCCTATTTGTGACATCTCGGTCAATTTCGCCGTCGTTTTGAACCGATGAACTCAGACTCCAGAGTAGACTAATTTTCAAAGTTATATCATATAGCTTTAAAACGATTGTAACGAATGTATTACGAAGTCTTCCTTATGTTTTATTAAGCAAACGAAAGAAATGTAAATCATGTCACTTCTTCCCGGTGGTTAATGATTACAAGACTAAATTACCATACCATCCTTATTCCAGCATGGTATAGGAAACAATTATAATTATAAAACGGAGGAGTCCAAATCTAAACTGATTTGTTATTGTCAATTTGATTATTAATTTATTATTTCTCTATGCTCAAAAATTACCTCCCTATTTTTCATAAAAATCAGGCACCAACTTATAAATTAAAAAAATATTAAAATAACATTTTGTAGTGGGCGGAATTGTAATCTAAATAATAATCTAAGTAAATCTCGAATCCACTGGAACAGACACAAAAAGTTTCATTGAAATCAGTCCAGCCGTTTATGAGGAGTTCAGTCACATACACACGCACAGAAGGAATATGTGTTGGCGCTGGCAACACTGTTTACCGGATATGACGTTATCTACTTGAGCCAAGGGACACATGGTCGCATGGAGGAGTAGTCACTTGGATTTCGGCTGCGTTCTCGGACGGTGATATAGCCACTAGTGCTGCTTGTCGTTATAATAGTTGTTAATATTCAAGTTCAGTAATAGTTAAAATATTAGAATGAAAGTAAAAACGTTAGAACTCTTATATATGTGTATAAAGATAATCTTGGTGAAGCATTTCATGAACATAAAGGCCAATCAAAAACCAACAGACAAATTGCCTTTGGCTGGTATAAATGACTGTTCTGGGCGAATAAAGACCCTTGCAACGCGCGGCGCCGCAGGCTGTAACTTATCAATTGTGTTTACCGAGTCTTAGATAATCTTTACTGTTTATACGAATGACTTTAATGAACACATTCATATATAAAGTTAAATACGCGATAGTCTATACAGAAAGATATTATGTCAAACGAAAGCCGTTTCTAGGTGCAGTTTATTGTGGGATTCGACAAATGTTAGTATGACTCACAGAGTGTATATCACTTTCATTGGCGTTTTCACCCCTGCCTTAAGTGTAATGAAGGTGCAAAGAAATGGTCCGGTTTTCCTTTGCTATATCTGCATAATATTTCTCAAAGGTGTTATTTGTCGGAACGCCATAACTTCCATAATTTCCCATCAAATTTTATGATTCAAACACCATTTTAAACCTTATGGTTGCCACCATAGATAAATATAAGAATAAGGTTTGGTTAAACGGGTTGTTTAAATGCCTTTCCTTGATAAATACTTATTTATACTTTTAGTAGCTAGTTACTTTCGAGTAACTGGTTGTATTATATTGCGTTTTGGATATCAGTGAATATTTAAAGTAAAATAAACGATTTTCATTATTAATATAAATTAAATAAAAGTATAAAATACTAAAATTATAGAATAGTTTTTTGGTTTTGGTGAAACATTTATAGTATCCGGAAAAACAACGTTTATACTTCAATTGGAATATTTATGTCTATGTTGCCAAGCGAGTCGACGCCTCAAGCCTTTTTTGGCAACTGTCCAGTCCCGTGGCAATAAAGTAGTTTAAGAGTACGAACTAACAGTACGAACGATGTTATGAAACGGTTTTCTTAGAACTGCTTCGTAAGCATAAAACAAACAGAAACTGGAATGAGCTAGGCGCTTAGAGAAATTGTAATCTGTTGGTCACATGTGAATACACCAGCTAAATATAATGGCGTAGTGAATAGGGAACCTGCCGCTTGCGTCAGAGGGTGTGGGTTCGATCCCCACTACTGGAAAAATATTTTGTCATCGTGTTTTTCCAGTTTCTGGGTATTTATATATGTATAATATATATTTATTTACAAAAGAAAAGTATGTTTAAGTATGTTTATCAGTTATCTAGTAAGCATAGTACAAGCGTTGCTCAGTTTGGGACTAGAGAACGTGATGTAAAAATGTGTCCTAAAATATATGTTATTTGTTATATACTGTGCTTCTGCTTCGTAACGTTCAGGGAAGTATCACGGTTTCACAAAAAACCGGGGTGAAGTGGAAGTATTATTCTTTCGAGTTTCGCCTGGTGATTGAGGTAACCGGGGCCCCACTTTTTTGAAAATTGTCGACACATCTGCAAGCCTTCGGGTGTTGTAGATGTTGTAGGCGGTGGTATCACTTAACATCAGGTGAACCACCTGCTCGCTTGACAACTTTTCGCATAAAAAATATAACGTTAGTCCATAGACAAAACTAGCTCTAGTACCTTTTAAACCTTGTGAACAGACAAATGCTAATGCTTTTCGTTTCTTGCTCCTTGGGTCGCACAAGTAGTGGTCCCGTGTGGGAAGCGAACCCACGACCCCCGACGCCGAAGCCAATCATAATAAAAAAAAAGTAAAGTAACAGCCTATACATGTCCCACTGTTTGACAAAGGCCTCCTCTATACAGAGGGTATCAGGGCATAGTCCACCACGTGGCCCCACTGCGGATTGGCGGACTTCACATATCTTCGAAATATATTTTTTTGTTATTTTTTCGAAAATATGCAGGTTTCCTCACGATGTGTTCCTTCACCGCGGAGCACGTGATAAGTCAGCACTTAAAGTTAAAAACTTCATTGGTGCCGGTACCGGGGATCGAACTGAGGTTGCTCGAGTATATTGAATTAAAGGCGAGTGCCCGGACACTGAGCTATCACGGCTCAAATCAAAATCAAATGTCTTCATTCAACATAGGTGTGTTACACTCGCTTATTGATAGTCAAAACACTACCACCGGTTCGGAAAGAAAGCCACTGAACTAAGAAGAACCGGCGAAAGAAAATCAGCGAGGCTTAATACCTTGGCAACTGCGCCACGGAGTCATCAAATCTTCGCCCATAAGTACAAGTATGTAAACACAGCTAGTCTATCGCCGTAAATTTTATCTAAATAAATGTAAGTAATGATTATTACACAAGAAAAAATATATTTAAAAGAAATGCTATTTGTGTTAATGTTCCCAGAACCAAATAATTAGAAATATCAGTCACCTATATAGGTAAACGATATGAAAAAGACGTATTTGTGACTACAAAGCTTCTTATCGTACATTACTTATATACGTAAGAGTCGCAGTGGTGCCGTTGTTAAGCTAAAGCGTCGGGTATCGTGGGTTCGATTCCCACACGAGCCGTGGACACGGGAACGGAACACAAAGGGGCAATCTTCCGCGAAACCGGCAGGGGAACCACTTGCTCGTTTGAAAAGTCGATGAATCTCACTTTAGTAATGTTTGACATATTACTAAAGTGAGATTTGTCGACCGACTCTATGTCGCCTAGTTACGACTGCATTGTAAAAATTCACTCGTTTTTACTATGCGCGTTGAATAAGTTTTTCTTTGGCGCACCAAAGGAAGTATAACTTCAAAAGCTGACACGTTAAGGAAAATCTGTGTTATTCTAGAGTAACATTTAAGGTACCAAAAGATAGCAATGTATATGGGAAATAATATGGATTTGATGTAATTTTACAGAAGAAGTAAAAACAACAAAAATAACGACTTTCTAATTTAAGCTAGGAAAGAATTTAAAAACATTTTAAAGATTTGGGGTAGATTTTTTCCTTTTATTCGATTTTCGGCATCTCTTAACTGCAAGCAGTCTCTAGACGCATTGGGGCCAGAAACCTATTTGGCGGTCGTCCAATCTCTACCTAGCAATTTGGTGCTTTTCGAATAAAAGACAGCACTTCTTCTAACTGAGAAGTTTACAAAATGATTTCCTTCTAAAAAAATATTTTTGAATAAATTTTATAATAACATCATGTTTTTCTACTGGAAACCAAGCCTTTTATCAACAGTTAATTATTTTTGTATTCATGATAAGTTAATTTTTTTATGTAAAAATTATCCAGTTTTGGGCTAATGATTGAAACATCACTCTGTGATGTTTCAATCATTAGCCCAAAACTGATTATTACTCAATGATATTATCGAGGTAAGTATGACACCGAAACTGAGGCACTGAAATTACGCCATTTGGTGTAATTACATTGCAGTTCTATACTGCTATGGCTTTCCGAATCATACATTCTATATAATCATTAACATTCAATTATATATGTCATACTAGCTGCTGTAGCATAGTGGCAACAGAAATAAACACATCATCTGTGAAAATTTCAACTGTCTTCCTATCACGGTTCATGCGATACAGCCTGGTGACAGACGGACAGACAGATAGACAGCGGTGTCTTAGTAATAGGGTCACGATTTACCTATTGGGTCCGGAATCCTAAAAAAAGAAATGTTTTAAATACAATTTGGAAAATGTTAAAAGGTTACGTGTTTGTCTATTATTCCTACACATATATATTAGTCAACATACTTTCCATTTCACAGCGCTACTATTAGTTTCTGGGCCATAAAATTCTATATGTAATATGTTGATTGGATAAACAGTTTATTCATAAAATTTGAAAATTAATTCAGCATTGGATTATAAAAAACAAGAATATTATTTAGAACGATTGTTAGAATCTGTTTGATGTGTTTAATGTTAACATGTGTCAGCAAACGTAAAGCTGTGTAAACACACGTAATGAATAATTAAGAACATTTATTAATGTGTTCTTCATTCCCCTTTCCATGCTTAGGTTGTCACGCGCGTAGTTAATGATTTGTTGCAAAAGTACTCTAAAGTTTTGTGAAGTTTTGTTTTATTGTAGTTCTATCTAGAAGTTTCGAAGGTCTATCAACTGTGATAGGGCCACGCAGCAGCCTTGGCTGATGTACGCATGGGCAGGCACGTCCGAGTAAGTGCCAAGTCCTCTCTGAAGACCGGCGTGAAGTGGAAGTGTAATACTTTCGCGTTTCGTCTGCTGAGTGAGGTACCTGGAGTCCAATTTACCTTTTGAAAATTGTTTGCAACCCTCGGGAGTAGAAGATGTCCATGGGCGGCGCTATTGTTTCAATACCATTTGTTTATCATCTTTAGACCAATAGATGAAATGGTTAGTATACAATATAGACTTTATACAAATATCAAACATGCCTATATCTAGATCATATAAAATTAAAAGAATACTTTTGAATCCCTTCAAAAAAAAATATTTCTAAATGAGCCATGCATGCGAAAAATCGGATAAGCTAGTTAATGACATTTGTTCCTTATTATTTATTTATCACAACCGCGTGGTCTTGTTTCTTATTATTTATGTAACAACAACAACGTGACCGCATAAATAAACATTGTTAATCTCCGTGAGATCTTCACTGGTGTAACGGACCTCACTAAATATTGAACTTCCACACCCCTCGTACATATCCCAAGATGCACATCTCTTAAATGTATTCAGCTCACGTATTGTAATTGAGTTAGTATATTCCATGTTATGCTATCGCAGACAATGTTTACAAGCATATTTGAATAAAGATGCGTCCATGTATTTATAACTTGCTTGACATAAAGCATTTTTAGTACCAAAAAACAAAACTGACTTTAAATCTGACGCTCTTATATTATACTAGTTTCACTGTAGGATTTTTTGAGATTTATTACATTTTCCACCGACTTAAAGAAGGTTCGTATTTCGGTTTTTATCATCACTACATAGAATAAAACAAAGTCGTCCCGCTGTCTGTTTGGCCCTATGTATGCCTAGATCTTTAAAACTACGCAACGGTTATTTATGCGGTTTTTTTTACTAGATAGAGTGGTTGAACAGAAAGGTTTATATGTATATTACATTGCACCTGTGCGAAGTCGGGGCGGGTCGCTAGTTTTTATTTATATAGAAAATGGAAGAAGAAGATAATATTCGCATAGTGCAGTACAAAGTGACAGAGATGTTAAAAAGTTCAAAAACTTCGACAATGCTTGATTCAAACTTTTATATCACGTTACACACCGATAAACGTTACTTACCCAATATTTTCGTTTGCTTGACACAATTAATTTTTGTGTTTTTATCATCCTTTTCCTGTTTGGAGGAGCTGTCAAATCTATTCATATCGAATATTCATTTCCACAAGACTCATCGCTAATCTATCATCTCAAGTTTAAGTTTTTTTAATGTTCCCTTTCAAGCTTCTATGTAAGCAACAGATTAATTTGCATTCAGATTTTATATGATGTGTTAATGATAGCACAAAACATTACATTATTGACGAGTTATTATTCTAGCAGCAATAAATAGAAGGAAAACTTTAACCGCTAACATACAAATTTCACAAATTATGAAACTAGGACATTTAAAATAATTTCCACGAAATATTAAATCTTTTTATTCCCAATAGACAATTCGGGAATATTTTCAATAATGTTACCAATTACACACTTTTATAAACGTTACAATAAACTGTTTCTTTGAAAGACTTTATTGTATTTTACGTTGTCGATAAGTTACGCGGGATTTTTTTAATACTTAATTATACACTTGAGCAACAGCATGCAGATTATATACAGTTAAATAGCACAGTACACATTTCTAGTAAAACACAACACCAGCTAAATCAAATGACGCTCAAATGATTTCTCTATAGAACGTAAGAAATCGCCGTTTCCAAACGGGAGCGATACGTTCTCTCACGGAGAGCGTGCGAGATTAACTGACGCCAGGTTGCTAGACGGGAGAGCCCCAACCCCGATAATTTAGTTTTCGAGTATTAAAAGCTTACCCGTTGAGCTTTGTTACAGATTAATTTAATACGGATATAATATCTGTTCAGTTACCATATTGCGTGATTAACTATTTCATAATAGATGCAAGGACTCGTTTATAACGCTAAAGGTGTAGGCAGAGGTGTTATACGCCTAAGAGTTTGAAAAGTCCGGTAGCGTTGTTTATTTGTCTTGCAAATGAAAATTTATTCATATTTTAACCGAATCTAGATAAATGTTATAACAAGTAATTGCTATTAGAGCCCGCAGGTTCAACTCTTTGCAAGCAATGCTTTTGCTGCTGTTTAGCACAATTTCCGCTATTAAACGCTTTTTATGAAGTTTATTTGCATTTAAGTCTAGATTAAATCGGCGTGCATTTAAGGTCGTTGGCGTGTTGAACGAACGCGTTTTAAATTTTTTGGATATTTTTATACAAAATTCGCTGGAAACCGACGGTACGCTATCATTGTCATAGCATAATAATTTACATCGCTTCGGGTGATATTGTGCTTATCGAGTGCCTGTTGGGCATAGGGCTAACGACCTATCGGCTGTATTACAATGCATATTTACATGTACGTTAAACGTTACTTAATAGGTACTATACTAAACTATGGTATGGCCACGAAACAGTTTTTACTGTTGCAAACATCGGCTGGTCTGTCCGGGTAATTAATACGACCTGACAGAATACCGGCGTAAAGTAGAAGTGTTACACTTCTGCGTTACGTCTGCTGAGTAAGGTAGCCGGGGCACACTTTATTTAAAGGTGGCAACGTATTTACAACCCTATTAATGTTGCAAATGTCCATGGGCGGCGGTTATTACTTAACATCAGGTGAACCGCCAGCTCGTTTGCCACTTATTCACATAAAATAAATAAAATAAGAAATACCGATTTCACTCGTGATTCACAACAACAACGCTGAAGTTTGTGGATCTCTCAAGTGTTGCAATAAAATTGCCTTATTATTTCTTATCTTTTGAGTACAGTCGGTGGTAGGGCCACGCCGCAGCCTCGGCTATTACACGAACGGGCAGGCCCGTCCGGGTAAGTACCACGACCTCAGCGTAAAGTGGAAGTATGACAAATACTTTCGCGTTTCGTCTGTGAGTGAGGTAGCCGGAGCCCAATTTTCAAAAGGTTGTCAAACCATCTGTAACCCTCGGGTGTAGCAGATGTCCATGGGCGGCGGTATTCACTTAACATCAGGTGACCCGTCTGGTCGTTTGGCAACTTTTCGAATAAAAAAAAAACAGTCTATCTGTATCTGTAGTACCCTTTTTATGTTATCGGGGGATGGGGGGAATCTTCAAAAGCTACCTTGTACCTCTCAGGTGACAGGGTAATGTGGGGTTCGTAACCACTAAATCCCCCACGGTGGCCACCTTCTATACAGCACGAAGGAACTTCGCACTGCTGCTAGTCCATGACCCTAACGTCCCCTTTAAGTCGACTTTTACGACAGGCAGGGGATACCTTAATCCTATACTATAATCCCGTGACTACAGGTCTGATCTGAAGTACCCTACACACACATACATCAGGAAAATCCTCGTATTCTTTTATTTTCATGATAAACAACTTTCGTAGCTATTTTTCTGCTCTTAACAAATAAGAAAAAAAAACAAGTATAATGTAATCATAATTGTTTCCACCCACGCCTGCGTGTGAAGGAACAGTCTATTATTTATAACCTAAATTGCGATGGTGAAAATTTATAATATTACTTATACAATTGTTCGGCATTAATTTCTCGCTGAAGTCAATAGGCAGGTTTAGGTATATAACTTGGCATTTTAAAAAGATGTAAAGAATAACTGACCTCAAAATTACTTATTTAACGTAGTAAAAAAAATCAATGTCACATTAGTTCAAATAAAAAGGTACATAAACATAATATTTCTTATGTAATATTTATTTATTAAGGTACACCAACAGCATAGCATAGCACAGCACAGCATTTTGTTCTCATATTTATGCCTAGTACTAATAGATATACACAACATTTAGGATCAAAATAAATGTAAAGCAAAAATATTAAAACAGAAGAATTAATACTGACAACAGGTTATATATTTTAAATAAATTTGTATAAAAAGACAATAGAAGAATTCATTTTAAATTTACATGGACTCCAATTCAAAAGAGATCGTAATTTCGCTTTAAAAACATTTACTAGGTACTTTGGCTCGGTTAATTAAATTTCAAAGCTTCTTTTTTATTCATCCGGTGATATATCACCGTAGCGAAAACTGAGAGTATATTCATAGTAAGTTATCAACAGAATAGGATTCTGCTTATTTCAACATCATCATCATCATTTCAGCCTGTTTGAGTCCACTGCTGAACATAGGCCTCCCCCATAGACTATACTACTTATTTATACATAAATAAAATAATTAAATAAGACAAAAGGATCGAATAGTACGTGATAGCTTATTATCCAGACGCTCGCTTTTAATTCAAAACTCTCCAGCAACCTGAGTTCAATCACCGGTGCCGTCAGCGATGAAAACGTTGGTTTTAAATTACCGACTTGTCACGTGCTCAGCGGTGAATGAAAACACCGTAAGGAAACCTGCATATTTTCGAAATAATAACTACTATGTGGACTATGCCCTAATTCCCTATGTGGGAGAGAAGGTCTTTGCCCAGCAGCGGAACATATGGCTTTACCTTAAATTTTTTACTTAAAACAAATTTATTAGTGAATCTTTATCTGAAATGTAGTCATAAACTTTATCAACATGATATAGTATAAGTTGCTAACTTTAACTTAATTTTCATTCGAGCTTTAATAACTATGAAGTTTGTTTGTTTCTTCTACTATAATATTATTGGAAAACGTAACCGATTATTTATCAATTTATTTCTTTATAACTAAATATATCGATAAAATAAAAAAAAACATAATTATTGAGTATCACTAGTGTTGAAACGTATACTGTTGCCACAAATATAGATCTTAGAGTTTATAATTTGATATGATTTTGTATGATTTTGCTTCATAATTATAAGTAGAATAAATTAAGTTGTAATTTGGTATAATTCTGTTTTAGACTTAGGTCTAACTGCCTAAGCAGTTAATACTGTATAATTTAACGATTTGTACAATGAAGTAGAAGAATAAAATGACATCGTAAAATGGGGATTGCTTTGGTGTGAGAGACAACCAAGATCCAGCTACTCAAAATTTTACTGCCCCGTTCAAACCTTTTATGGATTTGAATTTAGTAAAGCAGTTAAAGATTTTTTGAGAATATAAACACGGGATTGACTAAAATTGTTCAACAGGTTCATGTATTTATGTAGGTCGAATTCGGTTCAAAAATTCCCTCTCAATCTATTAACGAAGTACACTGAAGCAAATACAGATAGTGAAATAGAATTAAACTCTTAAAGCCTTTTTTTACTTAAAATATTACTACTTACTCGTACATTCCTAGTAACTGAAGTAATTTATTGAATTTAACCTGCAACCAATCGAGAATCGGAAGCCTAGCTTCGCTTATTTAACTCGGTAATTAAAATAATATTTATAGTACTTAAATGTAAAATTTTCAATTGTCCAAATAAAAAATAGCATATTATGATCATTACTCAAGATCCTTTTAAAGCCGTATTCGAATTTCGTATCGTTTTTGTTTTCTCTTTTTATCACATATCGTACTTAGTATAAATTGCAAAATAATGTGCTACGGACAACCGCTGCGAGTAAATAAATACACTTTCGCAGTGAGAGCCCGCTTTTATTTATTTAGTTACAATTAAGTAAATTTTATGTTTAGCAGTAGACTCAAATAGAATGATGATGAGAAAATTAACTTTTATTCCCCTTATATTATTGCAATCGAAACTCGAGTAATTTCAAATGTTTACTAAAACTACTCATTATTTAATGTTATATATCGTTTAACCTTTATAAAGATTACATTTTATAAAGATGCAGGGCATTTTTTTTATGGTTTTTTTGTAGTGTTATTGTGGAAATTTTACTGACTTATTTTTTTTTTTTATGCGAAAAGTTGCCAAGCGTGCAGGCGGGTCACCTGGTGTTAAGTGAATACCGCCGCCCATGGACATCTGCTATAACCGAGGGTTGCAGATGCGTTGACAACTTTTTGAAAATTGGGCTCCGGCTACCTCACTCACCAGACGAAACGCGAAAGTATTATACTTCCACTTTACGCCGGTCTTCTGTGAGGTCGTGGTACTTACCCGGACAAGCCTGCCCATTCGTGCAACAGCCGAGGCTGCTGCGTGGCCCTACCACACTGAGTGGTTTGTACTGCATTTTTATTATGTGCTTTAAAACAAAGCTATTTGTTTTCTTTAAAAAATAA